ATTTTTATTAAAAATGTGAACACTTATTATGGTTTTAACATCATTTTTAGCTTCTGAGGAACCTTAATTGTCATATAAATTGAGAGTTTTGAATTCGAATGTACAGTGGAGATGAATTATCCTTATTCAATATGAAAAATGAAACACTATTAAAGTAAGCTTGTCTTAAAATTTTATAGAAGTTGTGCTTTTTTTTGTCAGAGAATCTGCCCTAGCTGCCAAACAGAGTTTTGAGGTGCTGAAAGATAAACCTATTGAGACAGTACAGAGGTCCAATAACTCCAAGGAAAAGACAAGTGGCTCGAAAGTGATCGATTATTTTGATTTTTCAACACAATAAGACATATTGCACTCTATATCGGAAGATGCTGACTTGTCAACACAATAAGACATATTGCCCTGTCTATCTGAAGATTTTGAAGTTTATTTTAGGACTTTTTTTTTGGTTTGATGAGATATTTTTTGTTCATCTATGTGCAAATCTTGGATTTTTGTTTTCTTTTATGTTTTTTGAAAGATTTTTTCTTCCATTTTCTCCCATGTACTTAATTTAAGCAGACTTACAGCAGTTTAACAGAGTGATATAAGTTAAAAAATTTCAAGATAAATTTGTGTTAAAAAATTAAGTGAGATGGACAGAGACTCTTCTCTTTTTATACGCCCGTCTTAAGACGGAACATATTATGTTATAGGCTTCGTGTCCGTCCGTCTGTCTGTTAGCTTTTTCGTTTCCGGCTCATAACTTTAATACTATTAGGACTAGGATTATCAAACTTTGTCATCTGATGCATCTTGGGTAGAGGGTGTGTCGCGCACAAAAAGTAGGTCGCTCTGACCTTTTAATAAAAGTTATAGCCAAATATGGAAAAATCCTTTCTGGCCCATAACTAGAAAACTATAAGACTTACAATCATCAAACTTGGCCAGTTTATGCATCTTAGGTAGAAGTTGTGTCGCGACCTATATCAAGTTCACTGTGACCTTTAATTTAAGTGAAATTAAAAAAAAAAATGTGTCTTTTTACTATTCATTTAAGCATCCCAAATAATGTAAGAGTATTGCACTGTCCTTATTAAAAAAGTGTTAAATCAAGAAAAGACTTATTTTTTTAAGCATATACTTGACAGCAATCTATAACAAATATAATGTATGTTAGAGAAATCCTACCTCTCCCTTGAGTGTAATTATCAAGCACTGGCCAAGAAGAATTTTGATAACAGAAGTTTGCATGTCAAATTAGAGAGAAATTAATGAGTTTTGAGTGTGAGGATCTAACTCATAGAACATTGGTGTTATCTATATACCTTGGTATTTAAATATATGGGTAAGCCTGTTGGATTAAAAATAGCTCTTGTTGGCTAAGTTTTAAAATGAATTTGATGAAAAGTAATTAAAACTAATTTGATATTGCATAATAGACTAATCTGATATTATATAATATTATTGTTTTAAAAACTAATTTTTAAATATAGGGTGGGGTGAAATCAGCATGTTTAATGAATTAAATATTAAAACCTGTCGGACATTAAATCTCAACCAAAAAAAAAATCTTTGAATATTTTATATGTTTAAAAAAATTATGGCAGATAGTGCAGACCCATTCATCTCTCGGTAGTAATGAGTAGACAGGCATTCAGTTAAAGATTAATTAATGAGTTCAATTTAGGAAGGCTATCTAATCAAGCAGTCTTATCTGTATCCTTTGGGGATTAGACAGAAGAAGTGCTGGTCAGTTTATAGCATATGTCATTTGATGGCCAGCCTTTTCTTTTCAAAATTAATTTGGTATAGATTAAGGTGTTAAGACTAATTTGATATTGTTTAATATGATGGGCATTTGACAAGGTCTTACACAACCAGCATAGAATGATGTAATATTTATTATAATTAATGCCTACATCACAGGGAATGGATAAATATTTGAAGGAATGGAAAAATCATGGAAATCTTAGAATCGAGGTTGACATGATTTTCTTGCACGCTAAACTGTTCAAGAAAATTGTATTTTTTTGACGGGCGTATCATGCTGTGGTGCGGCACTTTATTCATCTTTGATATGCCTTGATCTGTAGTACAAATTTTTTTAGTAAATACAATGTATATGCCTATATTTTTTTATTGAATAGGAATTTCAAAACAAATTTGTGTAAAAGAATTATGGTTAATGGACAGATTTCTACATGTTATTGCTTGTTAAAGAAAATTTTTGAGAATATTTTGATTTTCATTTTAAGATTATATGTAGGTTAATTTGTACAGCGTATAAATAGATTTAAGTTCATTTTAATCAAATAGATTGTTTATTTAAGAAGATTGAAATTGTATTTATTAGATGGATTATTCTTAATATTTAGTATTTAGGGTTTATTTATCATTCTTTTAACACAATGACCCACACCTGCCAGAGTTTGATTCATATTCATGATTCCTAAAGGATATTGGTTTGAGTAAAATGAATAATACAATTTGTTGATTATTGACATTTTAGTGAGGTGGAGTTAAAAAAAAAAATAAACAAAAAATTAAGATTTAGGAATTTATTATGTTTGTAAAACTGATGTTGAAAGTATATTTACAGCATTTTAAAAATAACCCTGACTTAGTTCAAGTAGTTTTTGATATTGAAAACTTTGCCTCTTTTTGAAGAATGGAAGTATCACACTCTAGAGAACAATTTTGAATTTTGAACAACACGAATTTTTCACTGCAAGAAGTTATTTTCAGATTTAAGCATCAATAGAAATGGTACAAAAAAAACAAACAATAGATTTGAGAATATTACATATGCATTTTTTAAAAAGATATTTGAAATATGCTGAAATGTCCTTTGTCTTATTTAACGAGGCTGGGGGTGGCAGCCATTTTCAGACTATTTTGATCTCCTTTAAAAGAAGAGCTCCATAAAAAGATATACAAAAATGATAAAATTTTAAAACTAAAAATGTATGAATTTTTTTCTTTGCCAAATGATGGTTGACAGCTTAAAGCTGACATGAACTCTTAAAAAGGCATCATTTTTCATCTTTGTACGACTTACTACATTCCTGTACGCCTTTGTCCGCCATATTTCTTGAACTCCGCCATATTTAATCGAAGAATTTTGGCCACCTGTACCTGCTATATATAGCCTTGTAGAATTGTTTCACTTGAGTGATTTTCAAGCCTGGCTGTCGACATGTACACATCTCCGATAGCATAGGTTTTAGAAGTCCATACACGGAATAAACTGAATAAACTGACCAAATACATGTTTGAAAAGTAAGAATTCAACCAAATAATAGAACTATACCGAGAATTAAATTATTTTTGAATGCATTTGCTGCAATATATAGAAAATACACAACACGGGATACATTCATGTACAGCAAAAATCCATGCAGGTCGAGAAAACGCGTCAAACGCAGTGATAAAACATTTACCTGAATATACTGCTATCGTTACAGGGATGTGCACATGTCGAAAGAATTATCCTATTTCACTTTTATTAAAAAATGCATCTCAGTAATCCATTGCTAACTCAACAGTAAAAGATGCTTGGACACACGTGGCCCATGCCGATCATTTTATTTGCTCAGGGAAAAATGTCAAAGGTTGAAAGCTCAGTGGGGTTGATTGAAAGAAATGCAAGTGATTTTTTCAAAACTAAACATTACTCTTGTCTGTAAATGTTGCAAATAGAATTTATGATTACATGGTTTAACTTAATCAAATTTATAATAAAGCATGCATTATTACGAATCATTCACCTTTCGAAGATATTTTCCTGTGCTAGGAGGGGGGGGGGTGTAATAAAACATTCATATTAACACTCTCATAAAAAATAATTTAAGAAAACGTCTGAAACAGATTGATTTCTTTATGATTAATTATTATCAAATAAATACTGCGTATTGGCTTTATTAGACCTAATATAATTTGATTTAAAGTTATTTATGATTTTATGCAAAATGAATGAAAACATACCCCACGCTCCCCCAAAAGTCGAAGTGCTGAAATTCCCAGTAAAAAATAAAGGAATCGTAATTTTCTTGTTATATGCACATCTATGCACATTGTATCCTAAATATCTGCAAAGTTTGACGAAATTGTGTGCAGCGGTTTAAGAGGAATTGCGCTGACAAACTGCTCATCTTTATATTCAAGATATGGCCAAAATCTAAATGTAAAAGTGCGGAAAAACCCCCGAAAAAAATAAAGAATTCGGAATTTCCTGTGTATGCAAATCTATAATACACATTGACTCCTATAAATATCTCGAAAGTACGACAAAACTCTGTTCAGTGGTTTATAAGAAGTTGCGCTGACCAGCATGTAATGTGAATTAAATTTCTAGACATACTTAATTAATGATTACTAGATAAAGCAGATAGAAAGAGAGAGCAACCCCCCCCCCCCCGTGATATTTCACATTTTACCTACAATTAGCTTTTTAAAAATTCTCTTGTCTGTTGTCCAGGTTCAGGTTCGACTTGTACGTTTGAGCATAGGTGTCGGAACTGGAGTATTTTTTTTTTTTTTACAAATATATACTTAGTATAGACATTGAACATTGCTGCGTAGGGTCACCTTCCCCCCCACACTTTCCACAGACAAGTGGCAGTATAGGTTAAAAAAGAGGAAAGTATTGGTGTTTGGATAAAAATTTTGTTACTGAAGTTGAAGCCTACCCCCGTCCCCCACACGAAATATGATATTCGTGTTTTGGAAAAGGACGTTCCCCTTTTTAAAGCTTCTCAGACTTTTTTTAATGTATAAAAAAAATTCTTTGTACTTAGCCCCCCCACTTCAATTTCCTTCCGACGCCAATGCGTTTTGAGGAGGTATTTGAGAAAGTTCCCAATGTACCCATTCCTGTGACACTCTGTGATTTCACGTTTATTATATCCCCCGTTACGCTTTGGGGTACCCATTTTATCCGCAAATCCTCTTATACCACTTACTGAAATTTACTAAAACTTTCACAGAATCTTAGGTTTATTACATATTACCATTGTGTACCTCCTATTTTACTTTTTGATCCGACATGTATTTTGGCTTTAGCGACAAAAGCAAAATATGGAATTTGCCTTTATAACCATATGGGAGGCAGGGGTATCATTTAGTGAGCTCATTGCTCACAATACCTCTAGTTTCTCTTTCAATTTGGTCGTTTGGGTTAACTTCTTAACTTCTCCAAATTAAATTATTATTCAATTTATGAAGTTTCGACATCCCGCCTGAAAAAAAAATCCTTGATCTGTCCTAAGATTTAATAAATGGACAGCACAAAGAGCGTAGGATCTTATACCTATTATTGCCCTAAGGGACGGTTACAGAATGAGAGAGAGAGGGAGAGAGAGAAAGAGTTAGTTCAATATACAAAAGAGTAAATAAAAATTATTCGTATTCAACCAGTGTCAAGAATCCCTACCCTAGCTTTTAAAATTATCTCCTAAATACTCCTACAGAAATCATTTTTTATTAAAAAAAATAGCGAGACTATCAGGCAGGGATACTGAAATCTCTATAACAACATAGATAGACTGTCTATAACAACATAATTATAAAACATTTATACATTCCTCAAAATGCACTTTGTGGTCGGAGTGACACATTTAAAAAAAAATTCAAAATTGAATTCGTCTGTCTTCCACGAATATTTAGATAACGGCCATGTCAATTATTCTTGCCCCCCCCCCCCCCCGCCTAAAAATCAAATGCCTAGATGTCATTCTGAACAGGGGATGGCATTGTGTTTGTGTGTTAAAGAACGTATAGATCTATGTACACATAAAAAAAATGTATTCTGGTTGATTGCTCAATATTTGAAGTAAATAATTACCATACATCAAATACTTGGTTTAGATTTGAGATTAGTACTAAAATAATCAGTTATAATTGACAAATGAATTTTGCAACGCAAACCAACTGCAGACTATATACAAGACTTTGTATAGAATGTATATTATAACTACATGTAGATTTGATAATTCACAATTACCAGGTATAGCTTATGAACAGCAGTTATAATACCCCCCCCCTTCAGCCGCGCAAATACCAAATAACTTCTCTTTCCACTTGTGATATTTTCCCTGACCAAAATCTGATCAGCACGGACTAAGTGTATCGGCCTGCTTGTCTGTACGGAGTAATGACAGTGTGTTTACTTTTGAGCTTTTACGGAGTTTATTTCTTTTTTGTGATGCATATTTCAATAAATGGAATTCAGGGTGTATATCACTTGACTTGTGCACATCTTCGAACGGATGTAGTAACCTTATTACCAGGTATGGGTACGTTTACAGCGTTCGAAGCGTTTTCTCGATATGCACCAATTGCATAGGGGCTGCAAATCAAAGTCGTTGGTTATTTTGTTCCATTCAAATGATATAATTTCAAAATGTGTTTGCATTTTATTTCAAGTTTATTCTGCATAATTTGGCGCACTGTAAAAATACTTACGCGTGACGTGCATCTAAATTTCTCACCAAACTTGCATTTTTATCTTTTGATTCAAATCAATAATTATTAGAAATATGATTATTATGTCGTTTATTGTGGTTTTGAAATGTCTTGGTCTCCTCATGTGCTCTCATATGCTTTACCATCGGAGATGTGCACAAGTCGATACCAAAACCAAAAAATCATTCAACTGTAACGAGCGCTTTGGGGTATATATCGTTACAATGAGACTAGGTATCTGAAAGAAATATGGCGGAATACGGCTATAGTTGGTATGAAACAAGTCGTACATAGATGAAAATGTTGCGTTTTTAAGAATTCATGTCAGCTTTAAGATACCTTATCTAAAAAATAAGTTAAATCTGGTGGTTAATTTATGGTTAATTTGTTGACCCCCAGCCTCCTTAAATAAGAGGAAAAAAAATGATTAAAGTAGTATTAAATAAAATCTTCGTTCCAGAAAGAAACTGTTAACGAAATAAAGAATTTGCCAGAAGAAGCTGAATTATCATACCTTGAACTATTGCTAACAGGAAAGTTCTTTTTTTTTTCTGCTAAGATGCCCTCCTTCTGTGTCAGGCAGAAGTAAAAAAGGAGAGAAGCAAATGGTTAGTTTATGCTCATAGTTGGTGCAAAGATTGTTTACAATCTTGTTGAAAAGAAGAAAACACTTGCGGTGGCCTTCAACTCAACATTTAGATTCATCGACAATGTATTGTCAATTAACAATTGTGATTTCCACTCTAATATCGATACGATATATATCCTGGTAAGACTGAGATAAAATAATTCAGTTTGTTTATTGACAACACCATCATACATTGGCATATAGTCATGAATGCAACAATTAACATACATAAAATGAAAAATACCAAAGAAAGCATATCGGGTTTGTTGAAGGTTTTCCTCCCTAATATCAAAGCACTTTTTCAAAAAGTTACATACTCTCCTAGGAGTTTTAATAC